TACTCTTTGTTTAGGTCATTGGGTGACTTATAAGTACTATAGAGTGTGGCTAGCTGGAATTATCGATGGTGATGGAAGTATTCAGATTAGTAACACAAGGATATACTTCTCTTGAAATGACTATTGGACTTGAAGATCTACGACTACTACGGTCGATATATCCAACAAGAGTGAAGTCTCTTGTCACGTTAGGTGACAAAACACCTGATTTTGGATTATTCGCGCACCATATTTGTTGTATTCGCGTTATATTTGCGCTATTTCACGTAAGAGTGTTGATTATTCACGGAACCAATATTATTAGGTCGCGCAACCTGATGTTCATTCACGCATGTTGTTAATTATTCACGATCATTGTGTAGATTATGATCAATGCAACATATTTTTACAGTTTAATTGATAATCCAAATTTAATTCCATAAAATATAGCCCGTACAAATTATTAGGGGGCGAAAAGTCTGAATTTCCATTTACGTGGAAAACTTACACTCTTACGTAAATCACGATAGTATTATGTGAATGAACATAAAATGACGTGAATGAGCACAGAATAGCGTAAATGAGATGGCTTTAAGTGTTTCGTCACCTAACGTGACAAGAGATGTTTTCCATCTGATTCTTGGTGTGGAAGTATTAACTGACGAATTCGGTATTGATTAGGATAATTTTTAGTGCGTGCATGAGTAATCAATTTGAAAGATTGATGGTACGTACGTCAGTAAATATTAATCACCATGTCAGAAACTAACCTAGCTTGCATGGAATTCCTTTTACTATCTAGCTAGCTAGCTGGTGTTCCTTTTCACTGCCATTATTATTTTTAACCGTTCCAAAATTAACGAATTTGAAGAACTGCGCCATTGAATTCTTTTTCAACCAAGTTCCTGACTGAATGAGCTGTAAAAATTTAATAATACTAGTAAAGTGGGGAAATATATATATATAAGAAAATTTGGCCTTCTTCATAAATTTCATGTGGTTGCTTTCGGTTCTGTAGCTCGATCTATGAATTAATTAAAGAAATTGTCACTTTCTTCTTGCACCCGTTTTCCTACACCGCCCACTTACGTGCTTTTTGTCATGATCATTAATTACAATTGTTGTTAGGTTTCCACACATTCAATTCAATGCCATTATTTCCAATAATAGTTGTATATAGCATTTCCCTCATTATAATTTTTTTTTATAAAATTCCCTCATTATAATTAGTGAAATTAAACTCCATTTATAAACTTAAAGCTTTTCCATATGTGTTGTCGTACTTATAACTTATAAGCATTTATAGAAAATAAGAAAAATATCATCTAAAGCATGTTCCGTCACACACTGAGTTGTTGATGTTCTTGAAAATATGTCTCGATTTCTTTTATTTATGTATAACACTACAAGTGTCGTGGCAACCTTATCAAATCTAGACGTTTGTGGTCTACCGGATTCGTAGGTATGCAATATTCACCCTAACCCACAAGTCAAAACCTCGCGCGCGAAATATTATCTCAAGTTTTCATTAATTGTTTCTTTATATTGTGTCAAGGAAAGTCTATGTACTAAAACCTTAAACAACTAAGATGCACCGTACATGTTCAAAGTTCTAACAAATCAAAATTTACCATTAACTGAAATATAAAGTGTGATAAATCTTCGAACTGAAAATTTTAATCGTGTAATACAATCGAGTTGATGCTTCGCCTTCTTCACAATGAAGCTCAAGGTTTGGCATTTCCTCAAAATTTTCACCAGTCGTGCATTGTGATTTGTCAACTTCTACAACAACACTACAAATCTTCATCAAGAATTGTTAACTTGGACCTGTATAATTAGTCTATTGATCACACCCATTAAAAAGAACCTTCCATTATCCCTATTTCTTTCTTGTGTTTACACATGCGTCTAGACTACTAGTCACTTGCTCATAGTGTGATGGGTTAATCTGTAGTGTTGGTGTAGCTTTTTCCTTCTGTGTCTCAAATGTCATAATCTAGTTAGCTACCTAAGGCTTAGATTTTTACCGAAGGCTTAGATTGAGGTCACGTATATAGTTGTGCTATTGAATTTGCTATCTACGGGCCTTGGATTCTCATTTAGGCTGTGTGGATCAAACAGATTCAAGGCCCAAAACATACGAATCCTCGTGTTTAACGAATTAGGACTACAACTAGGGATGGCAATGGATCGCCATTAAGTTAAGTTGGAAAATCTAAATCAAGAAGGTACGAACGAAGTGACGGGGCCTTTTAGAGGGTTTGTCAAACACATGGGTTTATCCGTGAAAATAACCCAGGGTAAAATTCACAGGGTTTGAAAAACTCAAACTCAACCCAACCCGCTGGGTATCCGCGGGTTCATGGGTACCCATGGATTTTTGTCGTAAAAAAATTACAATAACAAGTTCCTATCAAAATAAAAGTCAAATATCAATCTTTTGATACAAATTATCCATATATAAAACGACATTCTTTCAAGCAAATCACAATTAACCATACAAATTGTTCAACACCAATCTAGAAAACTCAAGAAAATTGAAGCGAATCACAAATTATCCATAAACAACATGATTAATTGAAAGCTTCTTCCTCCTTGTCAATTAAGCTTCTTCACTCTCCACTCGATAATATCAACTTCATTCTACACAATTAGAAAGAAAAAAATTAGACATGTCTCCACAAATATAAAGAAGATTAGTTGCTTAGAATATAAAATATACCAGGAAAATTAATTATATATGGGTGTGGGTGGGTATCCATGTGGAGGATATACCTAAACCCAACCCGATGAATAGTGAACAGGTTTAAACCCAAACCCGACCCAAAATCCGTCAACACGGGTTTTACCCTCGTTGACCGGGTGGGTGGGGTAGGGTACCTGTGGGTTCGGATTTTGTTGACATCCCTAACTACAACAAGCCCTATCAAATCTTTTTCATTTCTTCTCCAACAACCACAAACATCGGGAGCGGATAGAGTGCATAATCTTGTACTACATAGCCATGTATTACCTTTTCACTTACTATTTATGGAATACCTCTAACTTTTCTTTTAATTAATTTTGATAAGTTATTTTTATTTCATTTTAACTTTTAAGTCATAATTTATTTTATTTTGTACAGAAAAATCAAATTAATTGTGCTTTTCAAAATGACATCCACTTTGATATATTTTGGAACAAAAAATTGAGACATTTATTACCTTTCCATACCATGTCGTAATGCTTATTAGAATATTAGTACATAAGATTATATCACGTGGAAGACATAATTCAATGCCATTATATCCAATAATTTCTATGAAATTTCCTCATTATAATTAGTGAAGTTAAACTCCATTCTATAAACTTAATGTTTTACCATATGTGTTGTTGTACTGATAACTTATAAGCATTTATAGAAAACTATTATCTGAAGCATGTTCAGCAGTCACATTCTGATCAGTTGTTGATGTTCTTGAAAATAAGTGTCATGGCAACCTTTATCAAATGACCTAAACGATTGTGGTCTACTAGATCCGCAGGTTTGCAACATTCACCCCAGCTCACAAGTGCAGAGTTTCGCACACAGAATATAATCTCAAGATTTCGTTAATCAATTTGTCTTTTCATGAATATATTTCCTTATATTGTGCCAAGAAAAGTCTATTTACCAAAACCTTCACCAACTAAGATGCATCATACATGTTCAAGTTCTGACAAATTAAATTTACCATTAACTGAAATATAAAGTGTGATAAAATCTTGGAACTGAAATTTTTAATCGTGTAAGGCAATCGAGTTGTTGCTTGTTCTTCGTAATGAAGCTCAAGGTTTGCCATTTCCTCAAAATTTTCATCAGAAGGTGCATTGTGATTTGTCAACTTCTACAACAACACTACAAATCTTCATAAGGAATTGTTAACTTGGACCTATATAATTAGTCTCTTGATCACACCCACAAAAAAGAACCTTCCATCACTACAGGAAAAAAGATCCTTTAAACACGGGATATCCTATATTTGAATGTGTGTTTCCCGTGTTTAATAGGTTTAGTCATGGAAAAATTACCGTAATATATACCTCTGTGGCTAATTGTAAAGGTCACAGGATAAGTTCCCGTGATAATTTCACCTATTAATCACGGGGAGACCCATGACTACTACCAAATCTTGACACACAAAGCCGACAAAAAACTCATTTAAAGACGGGATGTACACATTTTAACACAGTATTTACCGTGATAAAATTGATTCCCGTGACTAGATGCCAATCATTTGTCACGGTATTAGACTTGTTCTCCTGTGTCTAGATACCAACAATCGGTCATGGTATTTTGGTATGGCTAACTATCAATCACTAGTCACAATATTTTCACATGATACATAAAATTTCATATATTAAGTAGGGGTAAATGACACATTTGGTCACTGAAATTATTAAATTGTGTCATATTTAGTCACTAGAAAATTTTAATATCAATTTTGGTCACTCGAATTACCGAAACTGGTCAAATTTAGTCACTCTCCCGTCAGTTTCCGTCCAACTCCATTAATATAGTTGAACGGAAACTTTTGGGAGAGTGACTAAATGTGACATGTTTCAGTAATCCGAGTGACTAAATGTGACATTTTTCAATAATTCGAGTGACCGGAGTTGGACAGAGGCTACAGAATAGTGACCAAATGTGACATGTGTTAGTAATTCGAGTGACCAAAATTGATATTAAAATTTTCTAGTGACTAAATATGACACGTTTTAGTAATCTCAGTGACCAAATGTGTCATTTACCCTATTAAGTAGTAACAGAGAATTGGAAATGCCAATTCTCATAACATGAACTTATAACATTATTGTCAATACAATTACTTCAAAACAAGACAAGAATTCTCTAGCCATAAAGCTTTCTCTTCACTATGATCATTAAACGAAACCACAATATTCATCTCTACCAACTACCATCAAAAGATAAATAAAAAAATCCAGCAGCTTCTTATAATGATGACCATGCTGTCACCATAACAGGAGCAGAAAACATAGGCACAATATCTTAGTGGCTGCTAACATAGGCAACCAGGGGAGTTGCACAGGCTTTGAAGCTTTCTTGCATTTGCCATCTCAGCTCTTAGGAGTAAAGTCATTGACTTGTTACTACAGAGAAAAGATATACGAGATAAGCTGCAGAAACCAGCAAGAAACCAAAAGCTATACAAAAACTGTAGAAACCCAGCATCAACCAAAAGCCTATAGAAAAACAGAGCATCTCAAGTTATGCATTTTTCAGCTTTTGAAATAGAACTTGCACATATAATTAATCTAAACACAATACTTAGCATCACTAAACTAACATCCTTCATACATAGCTTTGGAATCTTCAATTAGACAAGTACCTTTTCCAAATAAGGATTTTGTATTACTTGTACAAACTCATGCCCACCTAATATAATTCATCACTTACAACAATAGAGTAGTACAAGGTAGAGACTTGCCATGGCTACCATTGGAGGAATTGCAGAAGGAGACTAAAACTTCCAACACTAGGGTTGCCCATTGAACTTGGATCATGTTAAGGCTTAGTTAGGACATATTGAGCACTAAAGTTTAATTAGAACACATATTAACCTACTGCAATACTCATGTTGCTGCTACTTCTACTGCTTCTGCTGCTGCTACTGAAACAAGCTACTGCTGCTGATAATAGTACTTCTACTACTTCTGCTGCTGCTACGGAAATAAGCTTGGTCTAGCAAAAGAAAAGAAGTGGAACTATTAGAGCCCTTTACATGGTATTAAGAGATTATAGAGAAATAGTTTAACACGCTTTCTTGTAATGTGAATGAAAGGGAAGGAACAAATAGTTTTCACTTAGTTTAGTGATGACTGAAGCTCACAGAACATGGCAGGAAATAGTTTGAGACACTCGCGACTTTGAAACCAACAGCTAGCACCATTAAGAACAATATCTAAAACCACATCCAATAACTCAAAGAAATATATACTACCTAGCGCCCCTCTGGAAACCATATCGGCCACAATTCAATGCAGTCCCTCTAAGTATCAAAGCTTCATTATATTAAAGCAAACTTCAGAGTTAAAAGCTTACCATAACCATAGTAATACAAAACTATGGCAGTGTGGAACAAGCCATAAACAATACGAGTGAGCAATATGAATTTAACACACAAGCGAGAGAGAAAAGTCGCTGAATCTTAAGGGCATCAATTTCAGTTCATGATTTCGAACCAGATCTGGAAATTTATTAAGAACCCTAATTCCGTGATGTATGGACTGGTTTTCGGATAAACCAAGGATTGAAAAGAGGAAAACAAATGGAGAATAAACCTTCACCAATTTCGTTGACGGAGCTTTAAGGTAGAAAAAGCGGCCGAGCTCAGGGGAGGAAGAAGCATTGTTAGTGAGCAAGCTAGAGTGACCCAACTCGGATCTGGAGGGCTGCTCGGATTCAAGCAGAGACCTGAGAAAATATATTGAAGAAATCTAATCTCCTCAAACAGAACCATAATATGCTGCAAAGTAGACAAATACAATAACCGAGCACGAACAGATTACAAATAGATTTCTAAATCTAAATAAAATCAACCCCTCTCCAAAATCGCCCTTCCTTCATCCCCGTTATGCTAAGAAAGGAGCACAAATAGAACACAGCACAAAGGATTTCTTCTTCAACTCGAATAAAGAGAAAGAGAGAAGAGATTGGGGGTACAAATATACCTTAATCCTTAGGGCATGGATTGGCAGGGGAAGATATTTGCAGTGGGATGAGTTTCGACAAAATAAATTCGCTTAGATGAAAGAACGAACAGAGCTATTTTACTGGGAAGGAAAAGAGATTCTTTTGATTGGGAATGCAGAGACTGTGGGAAGCTAAAAACTTTAGGAGTGGTGTATTGGTGATGGAGCCGAAACTTCAGTTTTGGAGCCAAAATTTTGGGTAGTTGAAATTTTAGGATTTGGAAAATTTTTAGAATTTGGAGCCACATCTTTCAGTTGTGAAAATTTAGGAGCCGAAACTTCAGTTTTGGAGCCAAAATTTTGGGTAGTTGAACTTTTAGGATTTGGAAAAAAATTAGAATTTGGAGCCACATTTTTCAGTTGTGAAAATTTAGGAGGGAACAAAATGTGAGACAGCAATTTTGGTGAAAAGTTTAGGGAAGAAATTTTTAAAGGATTCATGTAAAGCAGTCCCAATTTAACAAGAATTGCAATTGAGAAATCAATTTTAAAGGTGTCCAGATTATGTGTGGTGTGGTGTCCTATTTATGTATTTGTATTTGTGTAATCCGAATTATGATTTAGAATTCCCTTTAAATGGGTTTACCAACTTTAAACGTGCTCTATTCTTTGTTTTCATTTTCAAAATCTACCTTCATCTTCATCTAAAATCTGGAAAATATATTATCACATTCTTCACGGTAATTAACCGTGACTAACAATTAGTCACGGGATATGAAGAATAAAAAATTACAAAATTAATTACCGTGAATAGAACTATGCAAATAACTACAGGAATTTTTCCCGTGAATATTAGTATACTTTTCAGTACGGGAAACATTCCCGTGAATAAGATCCCGTGACCAAAAACCAGTTTTCCTGTAGTGCATCCCTATTTCTTTCTTGTGTTTACACATGCGTCTAGACTATATGTGTCTCAAACTCAAAGGTCATAAATAGGGGTGGAAATTGGGGTGGGTGTGGTTACCCGCCCCACATTTTGTGGGTAACCACACCCACAAATGTACAATTATACTATCCACAATTCGCCCCGAAGTGGGTAGTGGTTAACCACAACCCGCTGCGAGTTGGTGCGGGTTGGTTGTGGATACCCACAAAAATTTCACATTAAATATAATTATATTGTAATTAAATAGTGATGTTGTGTTTCTTCTCACACAAAAACAAAAACATGCATAATAGAAAGTTAATAAAATGTTAAATAAATTATAAATCTCAAATACAATAGGTTTGTTAGTGTAAATTTAGAAGAGATGGATTTGGAAAGAGATTTGAAGATAACGCAGAGGCAGAGTGACCTATTACCAGACAAACATCGCTGCATGTCACGGCTACTCCGATGGCAATAACAGCAAAACACAAAAGTGGCTCGATAAGAGGAGGTGCCCGCTTTTAATGATTTGCTTATTCTCCATTCTCGATTATAGTCTTGTATTGTTGGTAGTTGGTTGCATGTTGTGTTGTTCGTGAATTCGTGGAGAAATGGAGATTATTTTGGGTATCAGACTAACCTTTATCGATTATTCCCCTCTTTTAACAAATCAACTAATTTATCTGACTATATCTATGGACTTGGTTTTGTTATACAATAAACATATACCACACAGACAATGCTTATTTGATAAAAATATCTCACATGAACATTGCGCATTGACTTGGTTTTGTTTTATATAATAAATGCGTATTTGATTTTGGTAGCTACTTTAATTCTTAGTCTTCCAAGTTTCACAAACTAATATAACTAATGTGGTTAATGTGGGTTACAAAGTATTTGAAGAAATAAATATAAGTAATGTGGTTAATGTGGGTAAACCGCTGTGGGTAGTGGTTAACCACTAACCACAAAAATTAATATTTTGCTACCCACACCCAACCCACTATCCACAAATTGTGAGTATGGGTATCCACAAAGTGTGCGGTTTGCAGGTTACCCGCAAACCAAACTTCCACCCCTAGTCATAATATCTAGCTACCTAAGGCTTGGATTGAGGTCACGTATATAGTTGTGCTATTGAATTTGCTATCTACGGGCCTTGGATTCTCATTTAGGTTGAGTGGATCAAACAGATTCAAGGCCCAAAACTTACGAATCCTAATGTTTCACGAACTAGGACTACAACTAGTCCTATCAAATCTTTCTCATTTCTCCTCCAACAACCAGGAGCTGATAGAATGCATAACTATAAAGTACATAACTATGTATAATCTTCACTTACTATTCATGGAATGTCTATAATCTTTCTTCTGATTAATTTTGATGAGTTATTTCTATTTTGTTTTAAGTCATAATGCAATTTTTTGTACTATTAAATCCGATTAATTGGGCTCTTCAAAATAATATCTACTTTGATATGTTTTGGAACAAAAAATTGAGACATTTATTATCTATCTATACCATGTGTTAATGTTTGTTAGTACATAAGATAATACCACGTGGTATAAAAGTGTAACATGGTGGTATATGAACATACCAGAGTGTAGAATGATAGCATACATGTCACCGTCTACCACCAGTTCTCACCCTATAGGGTAGCGGTGGCTATACGGTCTGGTCCGGTTAAATTGGCCCAAATTGATCTGGTCCAATCCGGTCATTTTGAAAACATAAGGACCAAAGATTGGTTTGGATACAGTCAGGTCTTGATCCGGTCCGGTCTTGACCCGGCCGGTCCCAATTCAATCTTGATTTTATATTGAGCTTGTGGGAATTTGAGTGGCCTAAGGCCTGAAAGGGTGAGGAGTTGGTTAAGTTTTGTACTAAGTGCAAAGGTTTGTGACCGTTTATGCAAATTACCCTTAAGTTTTGGGTGTTGAGCTCTTTTATCCGGTCTTTATCCAGTTTTTGATCCGGTCCCGAACGAGATTTTACCTCAAATCTAAGCCCAAAGATTGGATTGGATTGTTTACTATCCGGTCCCGGTCCAGTCTCGGTCCGGGTTATACGGTCCGGTTTCGGGTAAAACCAAAAAACCCGGATCAAATAGCCAACCCTACTATAGGGTGGTATTTTTTATCATAATTTTTTTTTTCTAAATACTTGTAGATCTAATAGATCACAATGAACTCGTTTACTCAGAACAATTTTTTTTTCAAAATTCGAATTAAAAACAAAGGTGGTACCAAGTGACAGGTGGTAGGAAGTGCTAGGATCATCAAACAAGACAAGTTCTGAGGGACAAGCATAAGTGTATGATATATCATTGATGGAGGGAGCTTCTTTCGAAAGGAAAGTGGCTTTCATGGACATCTCTTGAGGTGAAGATGTCATGATTGGCAAGATCATAGACCTTATAAGTTGTAACCCTTTATAACTTCTGTAAAACCAATGAACCCTTTCCTAGCTTGTAGTCAAATTTACTTTGTGGTTAGTTAAGGTGCTGGCAAAACACAAACATCCAAACACCCTGAATTTTGAAAAATCTTTATATGTTGTTGTGAAATTTCTCAAACGGAGTTTGGTTCCCTTGAAAAATTGTAGGAACCCTTTTGATAAAATAAACTGCATGTGTCACACATGCACACCAAAATGAGTTGGCAAGTTGGTTTGATACTTTGAGAGCTTTAGCTATTGTGAGTTATGTTGGTATTTTCTTTTAAATTTGTTGTGGTGTTTCAACAAAGGAAAGTTCGTGAAGGATGTCGGTCTGATTGTAAAAATCATACATTTTGAATTCTTTTCCTTGTTCTCTTCTTAGTTTTCTCACAAGTGTTGAAATGGTCTCTGAGCATAATGATAGAACTCTGCAACTTAGTTTTGGCTTATGATTTGATTTTAAATGGGATGATCCACGCTTGTGCGGTTTGGTCCGCTACAATATGCACTAGGTGAACCACGTTGGGAGCAAAAAGAACCGTTTGTTTAGTCAAAGAGACAAAAAAAACAATATCCAAGTACAAATTTATTTACCTTTCCTTAAAACATAAATTTCCAATACACATGCATAATATTGATACCCTAATCCAAGTAAATAACAAAGAAAAGAGCAATCCAATTTGCATCACAACATAATGTTATATGGAGACACGATCGTCTCTACTCTTTGTCAGAGTGTGCCTTTTAAATAAAGGAGGAGACGAGATTCTAAAGATTAGGTTGAGACTTGGGTATTGTTGGAGAGCTGAGAGAGTGGTCTGCTAACTCGAATTGTGAATTGGGATGGGTCCACAATTTGGATCGGTAAACTATAGTTTGGACCACACCAGACCAAGAGATCAAAATATGACCATGGACCACCACGAATAAGGGATTGGTCTAGTGGTAATACCACTAGTCTTGAACCTGGAGGTCCCCAGGTTCGAGTCTCTTCAGTATTACCTAATCACAAAAAGTAACATATATCATCCTTATAAAAAAAATAGACCATGGACCATATCAGGCCATTCTTGACGGTCTACGATCCAGACCAAACCTAATCACAAAAAGTAACATATATCATCCTTATAAAAAAAATAGACCATGGACCATATCAGGCCATTCTTGACGGTCTACGATCCAGACCAAACTATACGGTTCGTTTTGGTCCATGATTTTTCAAATAGTTTGGTCTATTTTTGCATCCCTATTCATGACTAGAAACACAATTTGGCCACCAAATATCAACATGTATTAATTTAAAGTTGTTGTAGAAATAGTTAAAAAAAACAAGAAAAAGAAAGTTTGTGTTGTCTGACAAAATGACAAACATCACAAGGCAGATAATTATCTGATTATATGGATGTACAGAGTTACCTCAAATGATGGACTTTTGAGTGTGAAACATGACCATGTCTAAAGTGCCAATGATCAAAAGTTTGAGTGCTACGAGTTGTGATGCGTGTAGGACTACTTTATAGTGTTATGTTGTCTATATGGTTAAAGACAATTAAAGAGCTTTGTAGAACCACTTATCTTTCTCAGCTGCATATCCTAGATCAAGCATACGTCAGAGAAAAAATCAAACAAAGAGACTTATCTCTATTAAGTTTGCTCACAAAGACAAGGATGAAACTGAACTTGGGAACATATAAAACCTCGGTATGAGGTTTGAAACACGATTTATTGTTCCCGCATGATTTTTCTCGAGTTGGTCTCTTATTGGAAGGGTGATGTACATGTTGTGCACCATGTTGTAGT